GTTCTTCCAGTCACCCCCTCCCCGCCAAAAAAAAAAGATCAGCTAATGGGAAATTTGGGACTTTGTTTGGAGAACTCAGGCTCATGATTTCCTGGAATACCCCAGTTGATGTGCTAATGCCATGTCTAGCGCATCTGTTCTACCTCCTAGTTGATTGTAGAGTTCCTGGGAGTTTCCGAGCTTCCAAGCAGCCCTCCAAGTGACAGCAATTGCTCCGTATTTGCCCGGAACAGCAGAAGCAGCAGGAGAGTCAGGAATAGAAGGAGGATCTTGAATGTGTGGCTCATCATCTCCAAGAACCTTTCCCAGGAGACCAGAAGCACTGACTGGTTCTTACGTACTATTAGTGAGCATTTTGGTCAAAGATTGCACAGAGGATTACTGTCAAAGGTGAGGAAATGCAGAATACAACGTGAAATCCCCATGAACTCCAGACTTTTCTATAACCATGAAGGCTGGACGAATTAATGAAACTATTGCTTTTAGGTAATCTTTAGACTTTAAACCAAAAATATCCCTTGAAATCTTTTAATAATAGTTTAGCTTAACTAGCTTTAAAAAAATCTGTTTTGGGGATTATGCTTTTTTTTAAAGGACTGTCGAAGGAGCCCTGGTGCCATAGCGGTTCTTTGTTGGGCTGCTAATCACAAGGTTAGCAGTTTGAAACCACCAGCCTCTACTCCCATAAATAGTTGCAGTCTCCAAAACCCATGGGAGCCATTTGTCCTAGAGGTCTCTAGCGGTCAGAGCCAGCTCGATGGCCGTGAGTTTGGGTTTGATTTGGAAGGACGAGCAATGGTGCTGTCTGGTAAGTGTTGGAGGGCCAACTCTAAGGTTGGTGATTCAAACCCACCAACAGCTCTTCAGGAGAAAGTTGAGGCTGTCTGCTCCCGTAAAAACTGGGGGCCTCAAAAACGTTATATGGGGTCACGATAAGTTGGAATCAGCTCAACAGCAGTGGATGGGTTTGGGTTTGGTGTGAGAACCTATTGACAGCAGTAACTCCAAAGATTAGTAGAAACCGTAGGCAGCAGGGAGTTTATGTTAATGGAGTGGGGGTTGGCGAAGAAAAGGAGGGTGAGCAGGTTTGCACAGCTCCAAGAGTGTCATGAGTGGAGTGTCACCAAATAGCACATGTAAATAATAGGGTGGAAACTGCTGGATTGGTGTGTGTTTTGCTCTGTATGTTCTCCACAACAACAAAACACATCGTTCTTTTAAAAAAATAACTAATTAAAAAATGATCAAAAAGCATGTAATCCTTTCTGGGGTCATCAGACTCCTGGAGAAGAGCACCAGAGAAAGCCCATACGTTCTCTTCCCAGGGGTGGGACGTTCCCATCTCTGAGAGATTCTTTCCCGGTCTGCCGTGTGCCCTGCATGATTCCTTGCCTGTCTGCCTGTGTTTTCACACGACACGTGTGTGCTGGCCATTCTGGTCTCTGCAGGTACTTGCAGTGACACCAGACCTGGTGGGAAGTGTCACCGTTTGTAAATAGCATCTCTTTGAGAGCTGCATCTGAAAGAAACTCCCCTGCCTATTGGACATAAACATGAATACTCGCATCAGGAATCGCATAATCCATCTAAGTCTACGCTATCTCATGGGTGTAATCTTGCCAAGCATAAGCAAACTGAAGCATTTTACTTCAAATGCCTGGGGATTTTCGGGCAGCATTCCACCCTCCGGTACCGATTTCCTTTCCCGTGGCATTTGGGCCCTTGGAGGAGGCAGCCATGTGTGTCTTTGATTTGCTCGTGGTGATTTTTCACAGCCCCTCCCTTGTAGGCGTTAAAGAAAAAAGTCGGTGACTGTCTCGCAAGCCTTTGTTTGACTATCCCTGCATCAGCGGCCACGCCTCCTCCACGCTCCTGTGAGGGAGCCTGTGGCACCTTGCATTTTTGTGGATCCGGACTCCACGTGTGAATTCGGTTGATAAGTCTTGGGGGATGGAGCAGATGTTCTGTGAGGTCCAGGCTGTACCTGCCTTATCCACTTCTGACCTCCAGCTCCCGGCCATCGGGGTCTCTTGCTGACCACCTGATGCTTTGTTTCTGACGACCTGATGTTTTGTCTCACAGCAACAGACGATCTACAGAGACATGTCACCCCAACCCCACAGCCATTGCCTCACCCGAAGTTGTTATCGATTTCACCAACATGGCCTTTCTCAGAAGTCAAGTCTTCCTCGGCAGTGGACAGGACCAAGGGTGTCCTGGGACCCAGCCCTGACAACACAAGCTTGTTCCAGTTCGCCCGATCACCTCCGCCCAAGGCTTCCCGCAGGACCAGGGCTCCCCTGGATGCCACTTCTTCCCTGTACCCAGGAAGCGGACATAGCGCCTCCTTCGAGCCTTCCAAGGATCCCACCAAGTCCCTGGTCCACCCAAGACCTCCAGGGGGAAGAGAAGCAGCCGAGGAGTCAGGTTTGCCTCACACCAGCATGCTCTCCCCATTGTCCATAGACCCATCTGTGACATCCTTGAGTACCGTCCTTCCATCTCAGCCCACACCAGTAGGAGCTCCCTCCATGGCAAAACCAAGCATGATTCCATCTCTCCCCGCACCTTCATCCTCTTCATTGGCTCCCGACGCATCTCATTCCATCAAGACAGCAGAGCCACCCACCCAAGTGCCTTTATCCCCTCAGACAGCTCTAGCCGACTCTCACTCAAGTAAGAGCGTAGCTAGCGCCCTCAGCCCGCCTGCTCATGAAAGGAAGCATATTCCATCCGCACACACACCGGCTTTGATAGGCCTCCCTCCTTTAGGATTTTTTGGATCCTCAACAGAGCAATATTCTGAGCCCTCCCCAACTGAGAGCATCCCCTCAGCAGGCTCACCCACCCCTGGGTTTGGGAGCCCCATGGCAGAACTGGCCCATCTGTCTTCCCCTGCCCTAGCACCCGGAAGTCTTCTCTGGCATCCAGGTGGGACCACGCCTTCGGCAAAGTTGGAAGTAGCATCCACGCAGTCGACCCAAGCTGGAGTGGCTAAAGGAGCGAGCAGTGGGGTGCCTTGGCCGACTTTTAAGAGCACAGCGGCGGCCCTTGTGGCTGAGCCTTCGCGTTTCCAGACCACAGAATCAGTGACAGGAGAAAGGGCCGGCAGAAAGCTTGCCCCTACCCCTGTCAATGACTCTGCTCACCCGCCGCATTTGTCAGCAGCTCCAGAGCGTTTTGGAGAGCCGGCCCTTTCAGCTGAGCACGCCTCTTCCTCTCTGGTGCCATCTCTGCGTTCCACCACCAGTCACGGGAAAGCCAGCCCTTCCGCTCCTGCCTCGCCATCCAAAAGCCCGGCCGACTCTCCCTCCACGTTCGCTAGCAGCCAACCGGCACACAGTCAGGCCTCTCCATCCGGCGTGCCCCCCACGCCAGCTCTTCAAGAAGAGGGTGAGGGTGGGTCGTCTTCCACTGCAGCAACAGACTTCCTCCCCTCCCGCGAGGCTCCTAATCTTCCTTCCATGACCTGGGCATCTCCCCTGCAGGAAGAGGAGAGCGGGCCAGCTGCCGTCCAGGGAAATGGACAGCCGGAGAAGACGGTTCTTCTGCACGCCCGTCCAAGTATAGAGATCCCAAGTCCTCCACCTCTCAACAGATCCACTTCCAATGTGGGCACGGGTCCCATTTCATCTACTGTGATCTCAACCCCAAGAACGAATCACACACCTTTAGAATTACTTCCACCTTCCATCCCACCCATACGAACCACCCGAGCCCGGTCCCCATCTGCTCCCATCTCCAACACCCAGCCAGAGGCTTCCGCAGCTACTATAGATGCTTCTGGATTCCCAGCTTCAGCCTCCAAGCAGGTGGCAGCATTGGCCTCTTCCGCTGGCATTTATGACTCTTCCACAATGGGCCGCGTGAAAAAGCCCGCTAGCACAGATGTTTTCTGGAGTTCTTTTTCAGCAGAGATTGGATCCCCTGCCACCAAACCTATGGTATCTGGCTTGCTACAGCAAGCAAACGGAGATTTCGGTGGACACACAGCGAACTCTGCGAGCTGGGGAACTCGCTCATCCTCAACTGCAACTCCCCGTGGTTTAAGTTCAGCTGCCGATGCACTAAACTCTCAGGATGTCCAGGATGCTGCTGGGCCTTCAGCGACGACAGCAGGCTTCAATGTCCAGGAGTCAGTCCTTGGTACAAGCATAGACCAGCCTGTACACCAGCCAAACATTACCATGGTGGGAAATGACACAAATTTCTGGCCTACCCATAGTAACCACCATACCAGAGACTTTGAGACAGCGGAGGTTGACAATTACCCATCCACAAGCCAACGTGCTGGACTTCATCCCCACTTACAGCTGTCCGTCCACCCAACGCTTCCTCTTTTGCCAGTTCCAACAAGTCTAACTTCTCCAGCAAATCTGCAGGAAATGCTTTCAGATGGAATAGATGGAAGCTCCCCCATTTCCAGTGGCATCGCTCCATCACTTGGGATGAATGCTTCCACATCACACCAGAGCATCCTGAGGAATCGCTCGACGGCTCAGTCTACTCCTGTATCAACCAGTGCCTTATCTCGGACCCCCTCCAAAGTGCTGCTGGCTTCTCAACGCCCCAAGAAGTGGACAGGTGCAGTCATTAATGCAGGTAGTTTGTTTCCCGGTACCCCATCAACAGGTATGATTCCTTCCATGGCCGAAGCATCCTCAAGGTCACCATGAAGGACTAGCCTGACTCTGAAGGAGCGCACACCCCTTTGGAGCGATGAGTGAGCGCTCCAACGAGTCCTGTCATCGATCCTTTGCCTATTTGATTTCCAGAAAGTTTTCAGAATTTAAGTGTCTTTATGATCAAACATAGCTTTGCCATAAATGGCATTCTCATGATGGTTAATCACCTTAATGAACCCAGAGCTGTTTTGCCTAAAGACACCCCACCACAAGGTTAGCGCTCAGAGACTTTTCACCCTAGCAAACCCGTAAGTTACATCCATTCATCACCCGAACAAGTGACATGTGCATAGCAGGTCGGTAACAAGCTTTCCTCTTGTCTCTCATTTCAGGGGGCTTCTCCGTGGCATCTCAGGCAGACCCAGTAGCAGTGTCAGCAGCCACAGTGTTTCTGAGGAAATCCAGCCCATCGGCTCTGTCTGCAGCCCTGGTTGCTAAGAGCACCGGAAACAGCCCTTCGGCCGTGGCCGCAGGATTGGTCAAGGGCAGTTTGACCACTCCTCTAGCAAAAAATGCCACAAGTAAGGCAGCATCTGGCCCAAGGGCGACCCCAGGAGCCATCCACACAGCCTTCCCCTTCACGCCAACCTACATGTTTGCAAGGACAGCATACTCCATGAGCACACATACAGCCATGCACGGGAACACGGGCACTGCCGATGGCCTGTTGTCCACAACACACCTCCCCAGGAAACCACAAGCCATGCACACAGAACTTCCAAATCCCACCAACCCAGAGATGCCCAGAACTTCCACCATTCGCCCGCTGACAATCACAGCCGCGTTGGCATCCGTCACTGCTTCAGTAAAGGCAACCCGGCTCCCACCTCTGCTGGCAGGAAACACAGATGCTGCCTTTCCCGCGGGGTCCACGGAAGTGGTCACAACTGGTAAAGTGGTGTCCAACCTGGAGTGTCAGATGTCTAGTAAGCTCCTGGTGAAGTCAGGTAAGCTTCCACCGTTCCTCTGATTTTTCTCGACAGCAGCGAGCGCCTTCCGGCCTCAGAGGTGGTAACTTCCTTCTCTTTTCTTGTAGTTCGATGGTTCTCAACCAGGAATGACTTTGACACTGAAGGGCATTTTAGTCATATCTCAAGGCCTTTGTGATTGTCACAACTTGCTGGTGGGGGGGGGGGGGCGTACTTCCTATTGGTATCTAGTGGGTAGAGGTTAAGGATGCTACTAAATGTCTCACAATGCACAGGGCATTTCCCCAGAGCAGAGATTCCTCCAGCCAATAATGCCATTCTTGCCAAGGTTGAGGAACAGTTTTTTTCTTCATCAAGTGAAGCAACTGAGGAGAGGAGGGGTGTCACGTGCTGCACATAGACTAGAGTTGTGGTCCCAGACCAGGGATCAGGCTCCCTGGGGAACTGTAGTTCAGCCAGTGGGTCTGACAGTGCAAGCATGCACCACAGTTTTCATGAAGAGTGAATACACACAAATGCAGATGCGATTGGTAAAAAAATTTGGGGGGTCTTTGGGGACATGCTTTTTTCCCCCAGTAGACTTGTGGGAGCATAGCATTTCTTTTGATGTTAAAAAGGAGATATTCTTCTTGGAAAAAAATGGGTAGCATCAGAACTGTAAGCAAAGTTTGAATGCTATGTTTTTGCCACCCTCACCACACACACACACACACACACACACACACACACACTGTCCCGCCCGCCCCCCACCCCCCCTCTCAGTCAATTGCAGTAAAGCTAGAATGCATGCAGTGTTTTTAATAGTGTGGTAGTGTTTGCTATAAAAAAGCATGAGGCACATTATTCGGAAGAGCATTCCCAATGCTGAATGCTCACATCCCGCCTTTCTCCTCACTCTACCAAGAACTCAGCACCGTTCTAGCTTGAAATGTGTCCAATTCTACGAGAGACATTGGGAAACTAGGCCCAGGGCAAAGCTTTGCTTCTCAAGCTGATGCCACCTGGTTTTTCAGTCCCCTCGCCTCATGGGCCGCCGCCTCTGAGCGACAGGTGGTCCTAGCCACTGCGATACAGAAGCCCCAACACCCGCCCTTCCTCTCCTTCACCACCTCGCAGCACCCCAATCGCATCCATTCAGTCACCAGGACCTTTCAGTTCGGCCTCTGAAATGTCCCATCTTTGTCACGCCCCACTGTTGCTCCCCTGGTTCAGACAGCATTTGTCACTCGTCTGAATTTCTACAGATGACTGCTAGATTTCTCTCTCTGCCTCCAGACTTCTCTCCCTCCAGTCTGCTCACTGTGCAGTTGGGAGACCCATCTAAAATGCACTCCCTCACTTAGCGCCTTTACTCCCATTGCTCTCAGGACGAAGCCTAGAAACATCCATACCGGAATAAGGCTACCTCTCTCCTCTGTGCCTTTGCACCTGCTGCCCTCTCTGGGGGTAGTGAGTGAAGGCAGTCCCCACACCCCAGTTATCCCTGAAGCAGTTACTCCTCCCAGGAAACCTTCCCACATCCCAAGCCCCTTCCCAACTCAGGGCTGGATGCTCCTCCTAGGACCTCTGGCCGCACCTGGCCTTCCTTTCCCTTGGCATCTGCACCTTCAACCCCCAGTGTGCCCTCGGCTCCGTCCCCACTTGTAAGCTAAAGATTGCACTACCTGATGGTGCTGCTTTCTCTAGACCCAACTCAACAGCCTTGAATCCCTTCTGATTCATAGCCACCCTGTAAGAAAGACTAGTACTGCCCCTGTGGCTTTCTGAGGCTTATATAGGTTAAAAACATTTTTAAACAGTTTTATTGGTACTTAATCCTCATATCACACAATTCAGTAGTTCAATCATATCAAGGAGAGTTGTAAAATCAATTTGGGAACACTTTCTTCCCACCCACACCCGCCTATGGTTAAATCACTTTTAAAGTGAGTTGTGAAATCACCATCAGTTCTAGTGCCTGCTTCCCCCAGCATATCTTTACTTGAAGCAGAAAGCCTCATCTTTCTCCTGAAATGCAGCTACTGATGCGGTCCAATGTTGATGGCTGGGTTGTCCTGTCTTTAGGACTAAAGTGGGGTCCCATCCTACCCTCACGGAGCCCTGGTGACCAGATTCAGTGCTTCGCTACTAACCAAAAGGCAGGGGGTTCAAAACTACTGACCACCGCACAGCATGCAGATGTGGCAGTCTACTTCCATAAAGATGGGGCCGGTTCTCCTCTGCCCTAGAAGGTCACGATGAGTTGGAATCGACTAAACAGGATCGGATCCACCACCTCGTGGGCTGGGCCTGTGCTCGATCTTTGCTAGGAACTGGGGAGGAGGGAAGGGCTCGGTAAGGATGGCATCCACTGCCTCACCCAGTGACCATGCTTCTGTTTTCCCACAGTTCTCTTTCTGACCCAAAGGAGAGTGCAGAGCAGTGAATTCCTGAAGCTCACCGTGGCCAGAGGGCTCACCCAGGCCTTGCGAAAGGCTTTCCACCGGAGCGACGTCTCTGCTCACGTAAGCCCTGCCTTTTGGCATCAGCGTAACTAACCCCTGCGCCTGCCCACTCTGGCCCAGAGTGTGCTCACTTAGCCTCCTGCCTTCCTCAGTGCGAAAGCCACGCTTGCCAGGAAAAGGATCTCTCTCCTTTGTTGTGACAAAGGTCCAATTTCAAGATGTCTAGACTTTTCCCTTTAAACCTAGGTGTGTGTGGCCCAAGCAGTTAAACACTCGACTGCTGACTTCGAGGCTGGGGATTCGACCCACTCAGAGGTGCCCTAGAAGAAAGTCCTGGTGAGAGGTTTTAAATCCTGAAAGCTCTGTGGGACTCTTCTCTAGTCTGCAACCCATTTTGGGGGGAGGGGGCAGAGGGGGAGTAACGGGGTATGAGTCAGAACTGATGATAGCTGGCTGCTTTTTGTTTTCTAAATTCTGTGTTAAATAATTTCATTCTCTTTGTGGTTTGGAGAAAGAATTTCATATTGTGAGTCTAATTCACCAGAAACCAGTTTATGGCTTTCCCTGTCATTGCAAACAGTGGTTCATTTCTGGGCATTTAAAAATTATTCTAGCCAGACCCTGGGGAAAAAATAATATTCTGACTTGTACATCATGGCTGAGTTTGCTTAAATTGCCAGAAGCAGATTGGGAAGTAAGCAGGTTTTTGTGTTTCTGTTTCGTTTTGTTTCCTTTTAATGCCAACTATTGTTTAACAACTAACTGCTAATTGGTTTTGTTGGATCATCCAAGTGATGGAAGCCATGCTTTGCATTCTTTGGGTTTGAATCCAGCCTTCAAAGCCGTCAATGTGATGGGCAGTCTGAGGGCTCCCTTCTGCATCACTTAAAGTGATTGCTCAGGCGCCCTCCTCTGCTGCCCCGATCCACAGCTGCACGCAGTTCCATGGTCCTCCCCAGCCCAAAGGACTAGACTTGGGATTTGGTAGAGTCTGTGGATCATGCTCATTCTCTTTAATAGAATTCTAGAAAAATTAAATGCATCTCTTGAAAGATTTCTGCACCAGAAGTTGTACTTGAAAGTCAGAAAGATGAAATGGTTGGGTTGCCTGAAACCATTTCCCCTAAGCTGTAGTCATTTGCAAACTCTGTTCACAGATTTTGGTCTCTGCTACATCTCATCACACACTACTGCGATGATTCATAGGCATTTGTAATTTTTTATAAGCAGTTTTATTGGCACTTAGTCCATATGTCACACATTCAATCATAACAAGAGTTGTACGGTCATCACCACAATCAATGTTAGAACATTTTCTTCTTTCTTTTTTTCGTGATTAGCCCCTCATTTCCCCCCAGGTTCCCCCAAGAAACCATTGGCACCCCCCCTAAGAAACCATAAATCTAGTTACTGTCTCTATGGATGTACCTATCCCTGATCTCATATACAGAAAACCATCCAAAAATAACAACAAAACACCCCTAACAACAATAACAAAGTAAAACAGAGGGGAAAGAAAGAAAGGAGAGAGAAAATCATAAAAAGTAGAACACCAGATTTGTAAGGTAGAATTGGGATCATGATGGGGGGCGGGGGAAGCATTTAAGAACTAGAGGAAAGTTATGTGTTTCATCATTGCTACCTTGCACCCTGACTGGCTCATCTCCTCCCCACAACCCTTCAGTAAGGGGATGTCCAGTTGCCTCCTGATGGGCTTTGAGTCTCCACTCTGCATCACCCACCTTTACAATGATATGATTTTTTGTTCTTTGATGCTTGATACCTGATCCCTTCGACAGCTCGTGGTCACACAGACTGGTGTGCTTCTTCCATTTGGGCTTTGTTGCTTCTGAGCTAGATGGCCGCTTGTTTATCTTCAAGCCTTTAAGACACCAGATGCTATATCTTTTGCTAGCCGGGCACCATCAGCTTTCTTCACCACATTTGCTTATGCACACATTTTTCTTCAGCAATCGAGCTGGGAAGGTGTGCATCATGGAATGTTAATTTAATAGAACAACATGTTATTGCATTGAGTAAGTACTTGAGTGGAGGCCCAATGTTCATCTGCTGTCTTAATACTAAATCTGTAAATATATGCACATAGATCTATTTTCCCACCCTCCTATATACATATATTTACATATGTACATGCCAGTATTTAGACCTCTATAAATACCCTTTGCCGCCTAATTCTTTCCTCTATTTCCTTTTACTTTCCTCTTGTCCCACCATCATGCTCAGCCTTCATTTGAGTTTCAGTAATTTCCTTCAGTTACATTGCCCTCCCACTATCATGATCCCAATTCTACCATACAAATCTGGCTAGACCAGAGGATGTATACATTGGTACAGATAGCAACTGGAAACACAGGGAATCCAGGACAGATGAGACCCCTTCAGGACCAGTGGTGAGAGTGGCGATGCCTGGAGGGTGGAGGGAATGTGGGGTGGAAAGGGGGAACCGATTACAAGAATCTACGTATAGCCTCCCTGGGTGATGGACAGCAGAGAAGAGGGTCGGGGGAGACGTTGGACGGTGTAACATAAGACAAAATAATGATAATTTGTGAATTATGAAGGGTTCATTAGGAAGGGGGGAGTGGGGAGGGAAGGGAAAAATGAGAAGCCAGTATTAAGGGCTCAAGTAGAAGGCAAATGTTTTGAGAATGATGATGGCAACAAATGTACATATGTGCTTGACACAATGGATGGATGTATGGATTGTGATAAGAATTGTGCGAGTCCCCAATAAAATGATTTTTTTTTTAAAGTAGAACACCTTTAAAATGGGTCAAAAGGGAGATCAACTGATAGGATGCTAAATTTTAACCTACCTACATCTACAATCATCCACTTTCCTGTGCACTCCGTGTGAAAGCCAGGCTACTCACCTCCCAGCTCTGTGGTCAGAGAGGATCCCCGGAAGCCTAATCCATGTGCATTTCACCTTCACTTTATTTTTTTAAACTGCAACAACTTTTAAATGGGTCAAAATGTATTTCTAAGTTTTTTAATAGACCGTTTTTGAAACAAATACGTTTCTTTTGAAAGGGCATTTGCTATTACCACCATGAAACCAGTGAGTTGCCACAAATAAAAGGTTACCATAGAAATGAAAATAGTAGAGACAAAAATTCAAACTAGACATTGTTGCCTGCTGATGCTAAAGTCTCTAAGCCCAGTGCTCCTCGTTTCTAATTTGTTTCATGCATTTTTTTAAAGGATTAGCAAGGGCTGTGGTGTCAAGGAGTCCCTGAGGGGCACAAATGGTCAATCACTAGACTGATAGCCCCAAAATTGGAGGTTTGAGTCCAGCCGAAAACCCCTTGAAGAAAGGTCTGGCAATCTACTCTAAAACATCAGACATTAAAAATCATATTGAAACCTGATCAAATAGACCAGTAGAACCCAGGAGAGTGTGGCCTTTCCTCCTCTAGAAGCTGGGACTGAACTCACCCCCAGGCATCAACTGGCAGCCAAGCAATAGACAGGCCTATAAGGTACACAGTGACACTAGACGGGCCTGGCTCACACTCCTTAGAACAGGCAACCCCACAGGAGCAGAAGGGCGGCATTGGCTCAGGGATACAGCTCAGGAGGCAAGAAGGCACGGGAAAGAAAGATGAAGGGCAGTGGTAAACACAGGGAGGCATAGGAGAGCGCTGTTACGTTGTGGGGATCACAGGTCATGTCACAGAACAAAATGTGTATGAATTGTCCAGTGGAAAGCCAGCTTTCTCTGTAAACTTTCATTCAAATCACAGTAAAAAGCTGATTTTGTAGTTTCAATCGGGTGGCGCACAGCTTTCCTCTGACACACACAGGGTCACCCTAAGCCAGGGCCATCTAGATGGTTATGGGTGGACTTTACTGGTAGAGAGGGTTAAGGGGAGATAAACCCAACTGAGACCTGCTCCTTGAGGTAATTAGAATGGTGCAGAATGGGGTAATTATCTTAGGGAGGTGATCTAGTGTGATCTCATACTATGTTCATGCACCATCCAGAAGTTTCTCTTGTCCCACCTAAAATCATCTCAAACACCATCTTGGGAACAAACCGATGAGGGACACACAGTGTCAAAGAACCAGAGACCCACCTATCCTGGGTCACAGAGTCTGTTGTCTTGGCTTCTCTGGAAAATACACATGTCACTACTAAGCGGGGAAGGCAGCTATTCCAAACCCCCTAAAGTGTTCATAGAAAACACAAAGGAAGCAGAATAAGATAAAAATAAAACCCAACACTCTAAAATCTTTTAATGGAGCCAGAAAAGAGCTCAGATAGTGAGGATCCTTAGGACCCTTGGCTGTTGATTCCGTCTCTTTATGACCCTCTAGACAGAGTAGAACTGCCCCATAATCTTTACTGAAGTAGAGTGTCACGTCGTTTTCTCCTGAGCCAGCTGGTGGCTTTGAACCATCAACCTTTCACTTGGCAGCTGAGCCCTCAACCAGTGCATACCAGGGCCCCTTCTGCAAAGAATACAGTCTAGAAAAACCTACGGGGCCCTTCCACTCTGCCTCACGAGGTTGTCAAGAGTCGAACCTGACTCAGCGCCCCTGACGACAATGTCCTGACCCAGTCGTGAGGGCTCCCCATCATTTCTGCCTGGTCACTTTCATAAACGCTGGGAAACAGAATATAGCTGTTTCCCCCTGAGTTCCACTTTCTGGAATAATGTTTTGTCTGTCCCTTCTTGGCTGTGCTGTTTTCTTGATAACTGATACATACAGAACTATCTTGATGCACTTAAAGGAATGAAAAACAACAACAACACTAGATTTCATTCTAGTCCATATAGGAAACGAGATTTCATTACATTCTGATACTTTGAAATAGAATATTTGGTGATTAAGACCATCCTGTTCCCCAGCCATACTAAGTAACAGTTGTGATTCGAAGAAACACCTGAGAATAAACAGTGAGTTCTGTGGGTGCATTTGTTTTGTAGGTGGACATTCTGGAACATTCTCACAACGTCACCGTTGGTTACTATGCTACCAAGGGGAGGCTGGTGTACCTCCCTACAGTGGTTGTCGAAATGCTGGGGGTTTATGGCATCAGCAACGTCACCGCTGATCTGAAGCAACACACCCCAAACTTGCAGTCTGTGGCAGTACTTGCCTCCCCGTGGAATCCGGAGCCTGCAGGCTACTTCCAGCTAAAAACTGGCAAGTAACTCTCCAAAGGAAGGAGTCCCTGGTGAACATGCCCCATTGTCCACCCGAAGCTCGGAGACTTGGGTCCACCCACAGGCCTAGTGATCAGCGTCAGAAAAATTCCGACATAGATTTTTGCTCTTAGGCATGTGGGGTTCTAGGTGTTCAATTAAGCTGGATGATGATGGATAACCTCAGAAGGAAAGGGTTCCTGTCATTCTAGGCTCAAAGAGATGCCAAGAGGACCGGTTTTATAATCCCATGGCAGGAGGTCTGTCATCTTTTAAAGTTCCTGTGTACCTTCCTCAGAGGTCCCTGCTCATCGAATGCCCCAGTTCCTTCCATATCAGTCGAAACATTTCCAACCCTGTACTTATCAGAAATATTTCATCACGGGACCTTTTCTTTCTAAATTATGTAATTAGTATTTGTGACGATCAAGTGTCATCTTTTCCCACTGAATTCCCAGGGGGCATTGACAAGGGTGGAGTGTCCATACTAATCTGTGGTTTGCAGCCTTGGATTCCCTATAACACTGGATCAGAATCTGATGTGTTTAGGGCCTTGGAATAAATTTTGTTTAAACTCCCTTGTGATTTTGATCTGCAAAGTTTGTAAACCACAAGAGTGGGGAAACCATTGAAATTGAAAGACTCAAGCAATTTAGTAATGGAGGTCAATTGATTTTTACCTCCTCCAAAGAATTACAAGGCATAATCTCTTGGGTTACTTTTTTTTTTCACACTTTGAAAAGATGTCTGCATAGTCCAATCATTTGCATTGGAGGGAGTCTCAGATTGTCATGCTTTTAATTCTTATATGTTATCAACCATTTCAAGAGCCACTTTCAAAACTATAACCAGACCTGGCCCGCCCATATTGTTTATTTGTCTACTATCCCTCATCAAAAAGCCCGCTGTTTATATCATGACCACCACTCAATCCAAGGGGCTGCGACTGGGGCTTTGCTGTCCTGTCTAATGATTTATTCCTCTCCTTCTAGTTCTGCAGTTTGTGAGTCAGCTGGACAACATTCAGTCCTGCAAGTTTGCCCAGACAATGGAACAGAGGCTGCAGAAGGCCTTTCAGGATGCTGAGAGGAAGGTCCTGAATTCCAGAAGTAATTTGGCAGTTCAGGTGAGGAAGGAGTGTGCTCTGGCTGTGTGGGTGACATATGCCAGTGCCTAGACCCAGCTGGTGAGAAGTGACTGGCGTCCACCCAGTCCCAAGCTGCCTTTTGAGAATGTAGCTTTGTACTTGGAGGGGGGGAGTGACGTAGAGAGGATTGGGTATCACTTTAATGTCACTGAATGGCATTGACGATGGCACTGATGAGGACGAGGATGTCTGGGCTGTAGCCTCACCGCTGTGACTCCTGGGTTTTATATGCATTTCCCTCTCGGTGCCTCCTCTCCCACTCCCGTTGATCTTCTTTTCAGTCATCATTTTTAAAAAGAATGCTATTTTAAAAATAATATCTAAGGCTTATACTGAGTAAGGTATGTCAAATATCTAATATAAAATGAATCAGTTCTTAACTACTCAAGCACTAAGATTTGCCTTGACTCTGATTTGCATTGGGTTATAGTCCAGTCACTACGTGAACGATTGCTTCAGTGGAAGCGCGCGTGCGCACACACACACACTTTCTCTGTTTATATTGAAGGCTTATTTGTGCGGGTGCTAAGTGTTTTACAAATGCTATGCCTCAGAATACTCAAGACATCTTTTCAAAAGGGGAATCAAGACAGAGCTTAAGAAACCTCCAGAAGATCACGTACTTGATAAAGAATGGAGAAAGTATTTGGAATACTGGAGGTTGGCTTGGCTTGGAACGATGGGAAAAGCCTCCAGTCTTTGCTGTTCGCTCCACCAGAGCGAAGTAGAACCGAGCTCTTTGATGACACTTTTGGCAAACATGGAAACTCTCTGCCAGGGAAATTTCACTCCCGGTGAACTCTAGTTCCATATTTCTGCTTCCTGGCTTAACAGTGTACACACCGCCAAAAACTATTCTCAGGCTCGTTTTTGTTTTGCAATTGTGTCGTTATCCCACCAAAGACACAGGCTAATGGATGAAATTCACCCAGACCCCAGTCTTCTGATGACTGGTACCATCCCGTGCATCTGGGTTAACTCTAGAGTTCAAGCCCTTGCCATTAGACCCCGAGGGTCTGAAATGGGCATTTCGCATGAATGACTGCTCTGAAAAGCCATGGAGGGAGAAAGAGTGCGGCTTATTTTGAATGTGCAGTTGTCCTTTTCAGGGCGGAAGTTTCCCCTTATAGTTCAGTTCATGTGAGACTGAGATCTAAAAATGTGTCCCAGACTGAAGATTTATGTAAGGCGTATGACTCAGCGCTCAGTGAGCGCTGTTCTTCTTCCTGATCGGATTTGTGATCGGCACAAGTCCGGAGCTTGGCAGCAGCGCACGCCCCCTCATAGTATTCAGGAAGCACAGTCTTATTCAGCACCTGCTATTTATCAGGCACTGAGAGTGACAGGAAGATAAATAAGCCTACACTTGACCGTGAGAAGCCTCTTGTGTTGCTGCGTCATAGTCCCAGGTCATTAGATGAAGCTTGGAAAAGTAAGGATCAGGCGTTCCCTGGAAAAGAGCAGCTTGGGAGATTCAACAATTGCACCTAACTAAATTTATTATTTTATTATACCCATTCAGATACCTCTTGAAATGAATGGATAAATGTGCGAATTGTTTTCCTAACCCTGCTTTGGCTTTTTGCTCTGGCTGATAGGAAGCCCAGGGTCAAGTTTGTTGCCTGGATTTAATAACCTTCTAGGTCCGTGTATCACACATAGATAACTCTACGGTAACAAGCCCTCCGGGCTGCCTTGCATTTTCATATTAGTTTTACAGTTTTTTTCAGGATCAGGTTTTGTTATTAATAACTTTCCTCTCGATTGCATCAAATATAATTTATGAGACACCGTGGGGCCTTTGTTAAAAAAAGATTCATGTAAGTTTTTTGGTTTATTTTTTAAGTTGAATGGCATTCATTTTAGAGTTTAAACAACCCACTGCCATCAAGTAGATTCTGACGCCTAGTGAGCCGAGAGGACAAAGCAGAGCTCTCCCTGTTGGCGTCTGAAGATGTCAACCCCGACGGCAGCAGAAAGCCTTGTCTTGCTTCTGCAGATTGACTGGTGGACTTGCACTGCTGGCCTCGTGGTGAGCAGCCCAGGCATAGTAGACTGTCGCAGTTAGGACTTTCTTGGTGGTAAGCGGCGATGGAATCCAATAAGAGGAAGTTATTGGTTTCATGTGGCTGAAACTAAATGGTTCATTTTCTTCAGGCACAATTGGATGCTGGCGATTGAATGAGTTCTTTTTTTTTTTGTCTTGCTTTGCTCTTGCGGGGAAGGAGGACTGTCTACTCCTATAATGAGTTACCATCTCGGAAACTCACAGAGACAGTTCGACCATGTCCCTTAGGGTCCCTCAGAGCCTGCATAGACTCAGTGGCAGTGAGTTTGGGTTGTTTGGTTGCTCTTGGGCGGCATCCTCCTCGGGTCCCATGGGCTGGCCCTTGGCAACTCCAGGCTTGCTCAGAGGTCCATGGAAGCAACACGTCTCATGTCATTTGAGTGAAAATATTGGGATGAAGCCAGCTAGCTCCACGCCTGCTCCTGGCTCTTTGGGAGGGACACCCCCATCCAAACCACGTGAGCAGAGGCCAGCAGAAGGAAGTGTAGTGCTGTCCTGGAAGAAGGGGTGGTAGACACTGGGTTGGCAATACCACAGCTTTCTCTCCATCAGCCTTAGACGTTGAATTGCTGACTCCTGGCGGGAAAGGGTGGGAGGACAAGAGAGAGCACAAAAGTGTCTGTGGTCTGAGAGTACGCAGGTGGTGGGAAAGTGACCTCTGCCCCCTCCCCCCAACAAGGTTGTACTCTTCGGGGCTAGAGGCGTGACTTTCAGAGAACAGGGGATGTGACCTTAGTCTGTGGACCTAGTCTTAGTTTATAAAGCACCTAACTTAGCCAGAAAGAAATAAGTACAACTTACTGCTAACTGCAGTGGTCCAAACCCAGCGACTTGCTGCCTGGGGGAGGCTGTGTGTTCTCATAAAGCTTGACAGTCTCGGAAACCCTGTGTAGTCGCTATAAGGCAGAATCGACTCAATGCAGAGGTTTGGGTCTCTGAGTGAATGCACGGGCTGTCTCCAGGTTCCCAACATCTGACGCACGAACAACTCTTCCCAAAGAACCCAGCTCCCTGCCATCAAGCCCATTTTGACTCACAGCGACCCTATCGGACAGAGTAGAATCGCCCTGTAGATTTCTGAGGCTGTACGTCTTTATGGAAACAGAAAGCCTCATCTTTCTCCCAAGGAGCAGCTGATGGGATTGAACCACTGGCCTTGTGGTTAACAGTACAATGCCTAACCTATTACCCTACCACAACTCCTACTTGCCCTTGATTGTTATCTAAAGGTTCCCTCACTTTGAACCTAGCCCCTGCTTGCAACACATTCTTCATCACAATCACCTTCACTTGCTGCACGGGTGACTTTTAAATATATTTTTAAAAGACCTCAAGCCTTTTCTTGTATTCAGACTCATGAGCATCGAGTCCATCCCGACTCTCAGCAAGGCTATCGGACAGATTAGCACTGCCCCCCAGGTTTCAAAGCCTGCGATCTGTATGGAAGCAGATTGCCGCATCTTTCTCCTGCAGAGTGGCTGGTGGCTTCAAACCGCCAACCTTTTGGTTACCAGTCAAGTGCTTAATGACTGCACCACCAGGGCTGCTTTCTGGCAGTAACCCAAACACCCACTGCCATCCATCAATTCCAACTCAGAGTGATTTCTAAGAGTAGAACTGCTCCCGTGGATTTCCACGGCTGTAAATCTTAGGGAGCAGACTGCCTCATCTCTCTCCTAGATATCAGCCAGTGGACTTGAACCACCAACCTTTCGGCTTATAGCCCAATGATTAATCCACTGTGCCACCAGGGTTCCTTTCTTGTACTAGCCAACCAAAAACCAATTCTACTGCCATTGACTTGATTCTGACTCATAGCAGCCCTCTATAGGACTTGCGAGGTCTTCTACAAAAGCAAGGTCCAATAGCAGACCTGCCGGGTGACTAATGGCCATCATGTCACAGTCCCCACCCGTCTTTATCTGACCAGGCCTTCTGGTCTCGCTTATGATTAGGAGTCTTGTGCCTCGTGTTTCTCCCATTCTATTCAGGGCCTTCTGCTGTGTTCTTTCAGGGCAGTTGGCTGTGGTCGCCGGGCACCATCTAGTTCTACTGGTCTCGGGGCTGTGAAGACTGACGTGGTCCACTAGTCCACTGAACTCTTTGCTTCCCTGTGTCTCAGCTTTTCATCACTTTCCTCCAATGACTGTACTTTAAATGACCGCTCACAAGATTTTAAGGACCTAATTGCTACAAAGCAAATGGTTGAAGAGCAGTGGTTCTCAACTTTCCTAACACCGGGACCCTTTAATACAGTTCCTCAGGTTGTGGTGACCCCTCCCCCCAACCATAAAATTATTTTCGTTGCTACTTCATAACTGTGATCTTGCTACTGTTATGCATCAGGCAAGCCCTATGAAAGGGTCGCTGACCCCCCAAAGGGGTCGCAACCCACAGGCTGAAAACCGCTAATGTAGAACATTGTCTTTGTGGGCTTGAGTTATGCCAGTTGACCTGGTTTTTCTCCTGAAACCATGGTGCTGAGCCCTGAAGCGCAGAGTGATAATCTACTTTGTAATGATTTACAGCCTCAGACCCCGTGGAGCGGGTCTACTCTGCACAGTAGGGTCACTGAGTTGGAATGGCCGCGGCGGCAGTGGGTTTGGTTTGATTTGGTTTTCGATGGTGAGGTCCTTGGAATTGCTCAGCAAGAAGTGTTTTTCTTCTTTGGTCCCTCAAGAAAGACGCTTGAACCCGTGGCTTCCCTGGGTTCCAAAAGTACTTCCAGAGGGAAGAGTGAGAGTTAGCCCGAGATGTTAGCTGGGCATTATCCTTAACCCTGGGAATGCAGGCCCTGAGATAGAGAATGTTAAAAGAACATCACTGATGGTGAAGGTCCATACCGGAGCAAAGCTATTTTTGACAGTCTTCTTCAAAGTGAGTTTTTAAAGCAATGTGGCCAGGCTATTTGTGTGCGAGCCCACAGAGGTCTGGGAAAGATGAATCTATAGACCTCAGTCAGGCTCCCCACAGGAAGTAGGTGGCACACTCAAATTCAGGTCATTTGAGGAAAGCTCGATGTAAGGGACCATTTGCAGAGTGTGGGCAGGCTCTAGGGAAACCACAAAGGACAGTGCATCCCCAAGAGGGGGGCTGGTGGCGTGAGAGGAGGGAGCAGTTACTGGAAGCTTGAGACTAAGAGGCCAGGGCTGCCTGGTAGAACCGTGGCCCTGAAGGAGCAGTCCAGATATCGGGACCCTGATCTCGCTCGCTTCGGTCCCTCCTTGTCCTCTGCAGCTCCCCTTGCCTGTAGCCGGAGAGCAAGGGCTCCACAGAGCAGGGCGGGGCAGGCCTGCGACGCACAGACTCTGAGGAGGGGAGGTCTCCAGAATTGGACGACTTCCTCCTGCATCTGTTTTTCAGATCTCATTCCGGGGCTCTTTCGGTCCATGCTTTGACCCAGAAAATTTGTTTCCCAACAACTGAATAACCGAGAGAAGGAACCCATGCCATCTCATTGTTCTATTTGTGTGTTCTTTGTGGATGGTGGAGCCCTGGTGGTGTGATGGGTAACGGGTCAGGCTGCCAACTCCAAGGTCAGCAGTTCGAAACCACCAGCCACTCTGAGGGAGAAAGATGAGACTTGCTACTCCCGGAAGGATTTACAGTTTCAGCAACCCACTGGGGCAGTTCTGCTCTGCCCTATGGGGTCACGGGGAGTCGGAATCGACTCGGTGACAGTGAGTGAGCGTCTTGAAGGCCCAGGACAGCACCAGTAGGAAGAGTCCACAGAGTATGTGAAAGGTGCAAATGGTTAATCACTCGACTATTGGCTAAAAGGCTGGTGCTTGGAACTCCCCACCCAGAGGCATCTCAAAAGACAGGTAGGGCCATCTGTTTCTGGAAACTGGCCCGGGCTTGAACCCCAGGTGGTGGAGCAGTTCTGCTCTGCACATAGGGGGTCCCCATGAGCTGGAAATCAACTTGACAGCAGCGACAACGTGTGGAATTCCTAGGCTGCAAGGAAATGTGGCAGGTCTCTGTTTGGGGCTTCTGGATCCCTGTCCTCATCAGGGCCAGTCACCTTGGTCACTTTTGTGAGTGACCAGCCATTCCTGATTCTTTCAACTTCTCAATTTCCTGCAAGTTTGAGTTGGAGAAGTTTGAGCCCTTCTTACATGTCCTGTTTCCACAGTGGTTGTCAGGGAGCCCTGGTGGCGCTGTGGGCTAGGTGCTGGGCTGTTAGCCACGAGGTTGGCAGTTCAAACTCTCCGGCTACTCTGCAGGAGCAAGAGAAGACCGTCTGCTCCCGGAAAGATGGATAGGCTCTGAGACCCTGCATGGGGTCGATTTGAGTCAGAATCAACCTGATGGCAGTGGGTTTGACTATAATGATTGCCATGCTTGACTGCAAAGCAAAAGGTAGAACGTTCAGGTCCACCCAGAGGCCCCTTGGAAGAAATGCCTGGAGATCTGCTTCAGAGGAATCGGCCATGGAAAACGCTGCAGGGCACAGTTTTGCTTTCACGCAGGTGCCGCCATACCTGGGAATCTTCTTTCTGGGCATTGTCAGTTTGGACCCTCGCGTGCATGTTTAGAATCCTAAATGTAACCTGAGACAATTCAGCTCCTTATTAATTGCAAGACCTGGGGGAAGTCCCTTCTGCAGCCCGGGCCACAGTTTCCTCCTCTGTCTGAGGGAGGGGTGCCAACTTGTTCACTCCTCCTCAGGCCGGGGTGAGGATTGAGGGTGCCCTTCCTTTGCACCAAGTGGGCGCGGCGTGAATGATGACCGTTGTTATTCTTGTCTCTTCCCCCTCCCCCCTTTCATCCCCACCCTCAACTGCAGCTTAAACCCCTCCACCCCCGGCCTCCATGAAGCAGACCCTCGTCTTATTTGGCATGTCTCCCTCCCCTTTCCTCCTGTGTCCATGCAGGTTGTGAGCACGTCCAGCGCCTCCCAGACGGTCACCTTGGTGTACGTGGTGGGCAATCAGAGCACGTTCCTCAACGGCACTGTGGCCAGCAGCCTCCTCAGCCAGCTCTCCGCTGAGCTGGTGGGATTCTACCTCACCTACCCGCCGCTCACCATTGCTGAACGTGAGTACACCCGCATCCTTGTCCGACATGGACTCTTCTTCGTTTCTTGGGCTCTGCCTCCATTTGAGGAGTCCCAGGGTGGCACAGAAGAGCCCTGGTGGCACAGTGATAGTTATGGGTTGGGCTGCTAACCACAAGGTCAGCAGTTTGCAACCACCAGCCGCTCCTTGGGAGAGAGACAGGGATTTCTACTGCTGGAAAGAGTTACTGTCTTGTAAGCCCAGAGGGGCAGTTCTGCCCCACCTTACTGGATGGCTACGCATCAGAATTGACTCAAAGGTAGTGACTTAGAAGGTGGTACCCAGGGCTAAGTAAGTGCTTGGTTGGTAGTTCAACCACTCAGGGGTCCCTTGGAAAGAGGCCCGGCTATCTGCCTCTGTCAAGTTTACAGCCAAGAAAACCCCGTGGAAACGCAGGTCTCCCTGCAGATGGGGGGCCAGGAATTAGTATCCACTCAACAGCCAGGGGTTTTGTCTCCGTTCGGCAAGCAAACATCTGTTGAAATCCTACTGTGTGCCAGATGTTTGCTGCCTTGTCATAAAGCCACCACTGGAATAGATGGTGACTTGGGATTGAACGGATACAAAAGTCACCGCACGTTGAAACATAAGAACATTTCCTGAGTGCCCGCTGGGTGCCTTTCCCTATCAGGCAACTGTTAGGTCAGGCTGTCCTCAGAAACACCTTCTTAGGTGCAAAATCCGCCCATTTAGCAGAGGAGAACATGAAAACACCAAGAGGGTGAACAGGGCACCCACTCTCACAGGGCGAGTGGGTTTGAACCCGGCCCATTGTGGGCCGAGCCCACCGTCCTGCCTGGGAGGACCTCTTTCCTGACCACGTAGGCACTGCTCTGCAGGGGCTTCAGCTCTCTCCCTGCCTGCGGTGTGGAGCAGCTCCTTTGCGCTTAGTGTCGCGACTTCCCTTGACGAGTCCCCATTGTCTTGTGGCCTTGTCTTCCTCTAATGCTGCAGTTACATAACTCTCATTACCATGCAGCCAGCATAGGCTTGGAAGACGTGCAACCCACATTTTGTACCCACACGCTCACTGGGAGCCAAAGAAGACAAAGGGTTGTGCTCTTCATTGTCATCACTGGTGCATTGCTCAAGGTCATTGGGCAAGTTTTGTTTTTCTAGAGCATACTTATTCATCAAAATCATACCACCATCATCATTTCCTTCTATGGTTGTTTTTCATACAATTAATAAATGAGATCAGATGTCAATGTACTGATTAGCACCTAGCAGCTTCAGTTTGTTTGTTTTTTTCTTTTTGCAGGCGTGTGTTTGTTTAATGCAGCATCCCCACTCCCTGGGGCTCATTGCACCTATCCGGGGCCATAAATGCAGATACCGACACTTTGTCCTAGGTTATGGGTGGGCTATCGTACAAAGGTTTTTAAATTGCCAAGGGGATGCTGAGCCATTTTATTTTAGATCTTTTAGAAAAGGGGGTGGTAGGCCAAATATGTTTGGGAAGCTATGGTTTAAGGATAAACTTTTGTGAATTTCCATACAGTGAGGAAAGATACCCCCGAGTTTTACTAAAATGATCACGTCATGAAATACACCATTGTGTCGCATGCCAGCAAGGGAAGAACTTATTTGGTTTAAAGACCTTGATTACTTGAAAACGATGACTAAGTTTGTTGAGCTCTTACTATGTCTCAGGTTCTGGACTGGGAGAAGCCCTTTACGAGTTTTAGATCTAATTGTCACTAAACTTGTTTTTTAAAATATGAGAACATTTATTTTTTCGACTACTGAACTTAGTTCTTGGCATTGGATAATTTTAAGCAAAGAATAATCATTCCTAAAAATGTTAGTGATGGTTGGAGACATTTCAAGGTCAAGCCAGAGCTAAAACACATTCAGGCTATGGAGTTTGATAATGAAGGCTCGCGATTGGAGAAGGTTTGGATTAAGATACACGAAATAACAGTCATCAACCTCTGGTAAAGTCTTCGTCTGCAAGCTGGATCTTCAGTCTGGTTTGTGGTGGTGTATGCTTATTTCCCCCCTTCTTCACAGCAGCAGGATCTTTTTAGCCTGCATATCCGAAAGTGCCCAAGAATGGTAAAATAGGGTTTAGCTACTTGATATTTTTATTCCTGTGTCTATTTGAGAATGTTCACATTCATTGTAAAAGCCATGTGATGCATTTCTTGTTTTTCCAGCTCTGGAATACCCCAACCTTGATATCTCAGAAACGACCAGAGACTATTGGGTGATTACAGGTAATCTCTTGCACTATTTCCCCCTATGCATGCTCTCAGGTTGGTTTATTTTTTAAAACTACTCACTGAACACTTAGTTCACTGCAGTCTTACTCACAACAGGTGGCAACAACCGAAGTGTCCATCGGCAGTCCATTGGAAAACAATTCCTAGACATCTGTAGGTTAATGATATAAGAGGGGGTCACTTGATGGGTTTTTAGAGGTAGCTGTTTTGAAACTGTTGATCTTATATGCATGCTCTGTGTGACATCTTTGTAAAAAGACTTCTTTCTTGGCTTAACCCTTCTTGCTTTTGGTCCCATGGAATGTTAAGGTTTTGTGTCAACTTGGCTGGGCCAGGATTCTCAATGGTGTGGCAGTTAAGACCTAGTGAGATTTCCCATGATGATATTTCCACATAAACAGCTGCTCGTGTGTAACTTTGTCGGGGCTGCCATGACAGATACCTTATTATCTCAGAGTTCTAAAGGCTGAGAACCCAAATTCAGAGTGTTGCTGGTGTGGATCCTGTTACTCGCCTTAAAAGACCCTTTCTTGTATCTCTCTCACATCTAGAAGCACCAGACATCTTGGTGGTCCTTGGCTTAGCTGCATCTTCACATGACTTTCTTCCTCCTGTTTGTATCTCTGTATCTTTTATAAGATTGGGTCAGAACCTGCCACGTTTCAGTATGACCTTGTGTGAACCTCATGTTAATGTGTTCAGAGACCCTATTTCTAAACACATGTACAGATTCTGGAGACTAGGAATTCAACATATATGAGAGACAATGTATCGTCACTATGTAATGGAGGCATCCATCAATCCTTAACAATCTTTAAAGATGGCAAGCCTTTCTGCACTGTCCTGAAAAACTCGCCTTCCAACAAGAAGACTGCTGGGTGGGCACTTTTCTCCCTAGCCCTGGCATCAGCCCCACACCCACAGGAACTCCGGTGGAGCCCGGACGTGTCTGGACAGTGTACGGTGATGGAAATGCAAGGCTGTTTGGTGGCATTTTCATGGGTTTTTTCCCTTTTCCCTTGACATTTTGCTTTATGAAACAGCAAGCAAGTTTTCTGTTTGTTTTCAAAAGCCAGACAGTAGCGCTGAAAAAAAAGTGGACAAACAAGAATTGGAACAAGAGGGAGAGGGAAGCTGTGTGTAGGAGGAAAAAGGACCAGCCTAAGAAGCAAACAGCAACCAGAGGAAGGGGAACAATCCCGTGTGTCATGGGAGGCGCCGTCTTCTCCCTCATTTGAAGCCCCAGACAAGCTCTTCTGCTTGATGAAGCTCGCTCAGGACCTGTCTGGAGTGCAGAGCATTGCGTTCCTCTCCTCCCTGCAGAGAGCCGTGGACACAGGGGGTTATTCTACCTGCTGAGAAGGCAGGCTCAAAGTACGAGTGTTAAGGGGGAAATTAAAAAAGGAGGGTATGCCCAAGAGAGAGACAGTGCTAACCCAGCATCACGTTTGGAAGCCAGCAGATTATGTAACGTTTACAAAATCACATTTCCTATGCAAGGTGTGCTCTTTTTAACCTGCAGAGATCCCCGACACACACTTCCTATTCACTTTAGGGAAATGTTGGCACTAATAACACCTCCACCTCCACGTAGGATGTGTGTCCTGAACAATCTTTCTCACAACCACCCCCACCCCCCACCTTCTCCTGTCTCCCTACTGAGGACATGTCTTCATAAGAAGCCCCCCCCC